GCATGGTCATGGATGTCGCTCGTACGTCCATGATGCATGCGGCTGCCCCCCATTTTCTGTGGCCATTTGCGGTTCGGTACGCGGCGCATCAGCTCAACCTTCACCCCAGGGTCTCTCGGCCCGATATGTCCCCAGTGTTACTGTGGACGGGGAAGGTCGGCGATGCGTCTGCGTTCCGTGTCTGGGGATCTCCGGCGTTTGTCCGCGACTTGTCTGCGGACAAGCTGTCCCCCCGTGCTGCTCCCTGTGTCTTCCTTGGCTTCCCCCCTGACGCTCCAGGGTGGCAGTTCTACCACCCCTCCTCTCGTCGTGTTCTGTCCTCCCAGGACGTCACGTTCGACGAGTCAGTCCCCTTCTACCGCCTCTTCCCCTACCGTACTCCTTCCCTCCCCCCCCCACCGGACTTCCTGGTGCCAGTTCCCCCCCTGGTAGACCCCCTCCCCCCTCAGGTTCCTGCCCCTTCAGGTGTGTCCCAGGTAGACACATTCGAGCCAGTCGAGGTTGCTGCTGAGTCTGGTCCTGCTGCGGGTGCAGAGTCTGGGGGTGCTACGCCTGCGGGTGCTGAGCTTGGGGTTGCTGCTGCTGGGGGTGCTGAGCCTGGGGGTGCGAGGCCGGGGGGTGCTGAGCTTGGGGGTGCTGCTGCTGGGGGTGCTGAGCCGGGAGGTGCTACGTCAGGAGCTGCTGAGCCTGGGGGTGCTGAGCCTGGAGGTGCGGAGCCTGCGAGTGCTGGACCTGGGGGCTCTCCGGTTGCTCCGTCTCGGCGGGAGCCGCTCTCTCCACAGGAGCTGCGCGAGTGGTTTGCTCGCCGCTGGAGGCGTGTTGCTGGAGCTCGAGCTCCTTCGACTGCTGAGGGTGCTGGTGCTGCCGGTCCCGGAGCTGCTGGGCCTGCGGGTCCTACTGGAGCTTGAGCTGCTGAGCCTGGGGGTGCTGAATCTGGAGCTGCTGAGCCTAGGGGTGCTGAGTCTGGAGCTGCTGAGCCTGGGGGTTCTACGTCTGGAGCCGCTGAGCCTGGGGTTTCTCCTGGTGCTGCGTCTCGGCGGGAGCCCCTCTCTCCACAGGAGCTGCGCGAGTGGTTTGCTCGCCGCTGGAGGCGTACTGCTGGAGCTGGAGCTTCTTCGACCGTCGAGGGTACTGGTGCCGCCGGTCCCGGAGGTGCTACGCCTGCGGGTCCTACTGGAGCTGGGGCTGCTGAGGGCGTTGGTGCTGAGTCTGCTGTTGTCTATCCTGACGGTGGTTGTGCTGCTGGTGCTGCTGGAGGTCCTGCCGCTGGAGGTGTTGGTGGCGCTGGTGCTGCCGCTGAGGGTGCTGGTGCTGTCCCTGCTAAGTCTGGAGCTGCCACGCGGCCTCGGCCGTACTTCGTTCCGCTTCTGCAGCAGGTTCTTGGTCTTTCTCCTCCGGTAGAGTGTCCACAGCCTGTCCAGTCGCAGTCACTGTTGGAGCCTACCTCCCCACTGCCTGCTCCCTCTCCTTACACTGGTCCTACTGGAGGTCTTGCTGAGCGTCGTGAGCCTGCGTCTCGTCCCGCGTCGCCTGTTCGTGCTGCCCGCGCTAGTGGTCGTGGTTCGCGTCCGCGTCCTCCTCCTGTCCCTGGCACGCACCGGATGTCTCTGCGTCCGTCCACTGCTCCTCTGCGTGCCCTTTTGCCTTCTCCTCCTCAGTCCTCCCTTCCTGTGCTTACCGACCCAGAGTCGGACTCCCTTCGTGCTGCCAGTCCTACTGTCACGCGTCTGCTTGCTACTGTCGTCACTGACCCCTCTTTTGAGTCTGCTGCTGCGTCTGCTCTTGTCGCTGAGCTCGTCGACTTTGCTGCTCGCTGTCGTCTAGACTACGCTGCTAGTCTTGTTGCTGAGTCTGCGTCTGTCTGTCCTCCGTCCGTCGCGGGTGAGTGTGCTCTTGGCACGGACATCCTAGAGGACAAGCAGGAGGAGTTCCAGTGTCTGGCTGCTGCTTCACCTCATCTCGCGTCTGTACTGCTTGCTCCTGAGGGAGACCCGGATGCACTAGACATCCCGACTCCGCGCTCTTACGCGGAGGCCATAGAGGGTCCCTACTCCTCTCAGTGGCAGGCAGCTATGGATGCAGAGATGGCTTCCTGGAAGTCCACAGGCACCTACGTTGACGCGGTTCCCCCTCCTGGGGCGAACATCGTCAGTGGCATGTGGATCTTCAGGGTGAAGCGGCCGCCGGGCTCTCCACCTGTCTTCAAGGCGCGGTACGTCGCTCGTGGCTTCAGTCAGCGGCAGGGAGTTGACTACTTTCAGACCTTCTCTCCCACCCCGAAGATGACCACTCTTCGGGTGCTGCTGCACATAGCCGCTCAGCGCGACTACGAGCTTCACTCTCTCGACTTCAGTACTGCGTTCTTGCAGGGGAACCTGCACGAGGAGATCTGGCTGCGCCGTCCACCTGGCTTCACTGGGACTTTCCCTCCTGGCACCCAGTGGAGCCTCCGACGGCCAGTCTACGGTCTCCGCCAGGCACCACGTGAGTGGCACGACACACTGAGGACTACACTTGCGGCCCTTGGGTTTGCTCCTTCTACTGCTGACCCGTCGCTGTTTCTGCGCACGGACACTTCACTGCCGCCGTTCTACATCCTCGTGTACGTCGACGACTTGGTCTTTGCCACAGCGGACACTGCTGGACTCGCCTACGTGAAGTCCGAGCTGCTGAAGAGACACACGTGCACAGACCTGGGTGAACTGCGCAGCTACCTTGGCTTGCAGATCACTCGGGACAGAGCACACCGCACCATTACCTTGACTCAGTCACACATGGTGCAGCAGGTCCTTCAGCGCTTCGGCTTCACGTACTCCTCGCCTCAGGCCACTCCTCTGCCTACTCGCCACTCGCTCTCAGCTCTGCCTTCGGATGAGTCCGTAGAGTCGAGTGGCCCGTACCCAGAGCTTGTTGGCTGCCTCATGTACTTGATGACCTGCACACGACCTGACCTTGCATACCCTCTTAGCATTCTTGCACGCTATGTTGCTCCTGGGAGACACCGACCAGAGCACATGGCTGCAGCGAAGAGGGTATTGCGCTACCTGTGCAGTACGTCGGGCATGGGGCTAGTGCTTGGAGGGCGGAGTCCAGTGGTACTTACAGGTCACGCGGACGCTTCTTGGGCTGACGACCAGGCTACGCAGCGGTCGTCACAGGGTTACACCTTCAGCCTTGGCTCCGGCTCTGTTTCGTGGCGGGCTACTCGCTTGTCTTCGGTTCTCTGCTCGAGTTGTGAGGCTGAGATCTACGCAGGAGCCATGGCTGCACAGGAGCTTCGCTGGCTCACCTACCTGCTGACTGACCTTGGAGAGCCGCCTCGTTCTCCTCCAGTGCTGTACGTAGACAACAAGGCCATGCTGGCCTTGTGTCGAGAGCAGCGTCTGGAGCACAGAACGAAGCACATTGCTTTTCGCTACTTCCTTGCTCGTGAGCTACAGCAGCGTGGACAGTTGCGGCTTGCGTACGTGGCCTCTGAGGCCAACACTGCTGATGTGTTCACCAAGGCACTCGCGCCTTGTGACCATCAGCGCTTCTGCACCCAGCTGGGTCTTGTGCTTGTCTTGCCTCACTTGCTCTCCTCTTGACTTTACTTGTACTGTCACATATATATACCTGCTCTTGCTTGTCTAGCTTTATATATATATATGTGTGTACTCCTGCATGTGAACTGGCCTTGTGGCCTTGCTCTTGTGCTCGGACTGTGTGGTGACTTTGTGATCCACCTTGAGCTTTGCTTTGCTTTGCTTGACTGGTCTTGTGACCCCTTGTTCTCCCCCACTTTGCCTATGGGGGTGTGTCAGAACATATATGTAGCTTATGCTGTTGTGTAGGCTACAGTGGGGTATACCATAGGGGGTACAACCCAATTAGGGTTTTGTTATTTGTACTCACTTCACTCATAGTTCATTCATTCTCGTTCTATTTTCCACAGGCACCTCTTTTGCCACTTGCAGCGGAAGATTCACCTGCACGTGGCAACAGAGAAATAGTGGGAGGGGGCAAATCTCGGCAGATTGCCTTTGGATGTACCGCGAAATTTCCTTGAGGGAGAAATTCACACGATATTCTTCCGTATTGCAGCTACTCGTTAACGACTATAATAATGAATATGTAAGAAAAGGGGGGTGTTATAGAAAATCAGCCAAAAAGGGGGATATAGTAGAAACGAGGTCTATCATAACACCCACCCCGCACAAGCTACCCGGGGGTGTACAATTATGGGGGGGTGTTTTGTCCGGGAGTATACGGTAGTCCTTCGACACGACAGATGCGCTTAGATTAATTGTTTCCAACACCTCTCTCGCGCCTGGGCTTTGCAACAATATTGTGTTATGAATGTTTGAGATGGAATAAATGACTCAAGCAATTAAAAAGTTTGAAGGATATTCTTGCAGTATCTATACAACCATAGAATAGTATTGTTGTATCATTTGTCTGTTCATAAATTCATTTATTTGGAGCGTGAAAAGCCTCGCGACTATTTGCGTGACGCTACAATAGAAGCACTTTAAATGACAATTCGGCAATCAGGCTAGAGTTAGGAAAACATCAATGAGTAGGGGATGGACTATAATATTCCCTAGGCCCATCATCATCCCCTTCCCCCACTTCACCCATCCCTTGAAACTCTCACCTTTCCCCAGAGTCATGACATGAATCGTTCCCCGCCCAGCTTGGGATTGCCAGGTTATGGCACACCAGTCTCCTGAATCCTGATCTGTCTGCTCCAAGGTTGTTGACCCAGCAAACCCTAACCTTCATCACCACTCCATGCTGCTCCGAATTTCCTCGATCTCCCCGCTGTCACTGGCAGCCACACTCTACTCGATAAATTTCGCGATTCGCATGCCAATGTTCGCTTGATCCAGGCAGGCGACTAGATTCGTCGATTAATGGAGGAAACGTAGGACAATCTTGGAATGCACAGCCATGAGCGGAACGCACACTAGCACCACGACGATAGCACCGCAAGGCAGACCTGCCCGTGCTCCTTCCTCATGGGCCTTTCAGATGCATATGCCACCGAGGCTTCTGCTCCCGCGCCGGGCGCCGCTAGTGCCGCGGGTTCCGCAAGCTTCCGTCCCCCTAAACGTTCCCTGTCCAGTCGGGGACCCAAGGACTCGTCGTCACTCCCTAAAATCCCGATTCAGGGAAAGAAACCCTCAAATCAAGCGATACCGTCGAGTCGCAGCGTCAGTAACACTCCGATCAACAGCCCGAGGTCAACCAGTCCCACGAACTTGGCTCTCCCCGCGCGTAGCAGCACCACGGGCTCGCGCGCGCAAAAGCCGCAGCAGGGTGGGACGCGTCAAGCGCGCGGAAACAGCAACTTGCGCCAGTCCGCGGGGAATACCCGGCTGTGGCGCGAAGCATCGGCGGAACGTAGCAAGGAGCAAGCGCGGGATAACGGGGGGGTGGTTCCCGGTCGGAGGGACTCGGCGAGGGCGGATGCGCGAGGAGGGTTCGATGGTGACTTGAAGTCTGACGAGCGACGGTGGCAGTCGAAGGATCGTGGTGATGGTACCGACGAGGAACAAGAATGGGCTGAAGAGGATGAGGAGGCGGAAGAGGAGGAAGCGGAGGAGGAAGACGAAGGAGAAGAGGAAGAGGAGGAGAGTGCTGAGGATTCAGAGGAGGACGAGGAAGAAGAGGAAGAGGAGCAGGAAGAAAGAGGGGATGAGGACGAGGGCGGGGAGGGCGATTGGCGCAAGGGAGGTGCGCGGGGTTCGAGCGAGGATGAATCGGACGAGGAAGAACAGGACGGGGATGCGGCGCAAGGCTGGGCGCAGAGCCAGCAGCACAGGCGGAACGTGTCTCAGCCGAACATCCACGCGTCCCGCGCGTCCTGGGCGCAAACACAGCGCGCGCGAGCGTCTGCGCGCTATCCCAGTCACGCGTCAGTTATTGAAGAGGACGAGTCCGCGCCCGCTGATTCCGGCGCCGCCTCGTCCGCCCGCTCGCCGGGCCCTTCCCCCTCGCGCTCGCCCGCGGGGTCCGCCGCTGCGGCTGCGCGCGCGGGAAGTCCGCGCATGGGCAGCAGCGCGGGGTCGCCGTCGTCCGCGCGGTGGAGCACGCGGAAGAAGCCGTGGACCCCGAAGGCGCTGGGGGGAATAGCGCGGAGTTTCGAGAGCAGCTGCTGCAGCAGTAGCAGCGACGAGGGCGAGGGAGCAGGGATGGTAAGTTGTAGAGAAGATGACGAGGGGTCGTTTGTGCGTGATGAGGAGGGTGAGGAGAGGAGGAGGGAGGAGGCGGAGGACGAGGCGGAGGGCAGGGACGAGAGGAAACGAGAGGTCGGCGCGCGCGGCTCGCAATCCTTCCGCCGGCTGCGCATTGTGCCTCCGCGTCTCGAGACCCAGTCGAACAGGCGCAGAGGGCACACTGGGGAGCCTATCTCCCCCCCTTCTGCGCGCTCCTCCGCCTCTGTCCTTGCCTCCGCGCGAGTATCCCCGCGCCCGCTTCTCACCGCGGGTCCCTCGTGCGTCGATTTGGTGGAGCTTCCCCCCCGAGTAGCGCCGAGCCCCGCAAGCTCCGACGCCTCCGCGTCTCGTCGCGCGGATTTCTCCCTCGCTGCTGGCGGAAAGGCCGCGGGGCGAAGCGCCCATCCGGCCGCGCGCTCGCCTTCGGTTTCCGCCTCGTCGCCCGCAGGCGGGCGTGGTAAAGGGGGCGCGAGGAGTCAAGAACGCAGGGAAACCGGGCAAGGGGGGCGGAGGGGGGACGTCAGAGGGGGAAAGGATGGCGCGGGTACGAGCCGTGGGTGGGATCGTGACGAGGCGGGAGCGGAATCGCCAGTGGACTTCGCGCGGGGTATGGCGGGGGCTGCAGGGCTGGGGGGGAAGGATCGCGGGGGCGGAAAGCGCGCGAACGCGGAAGGATCCGATTTTATGAGCGAAAGTGGGAGCATGAGCGGGGGCGGGAGTATTTCGCGCACTGGAAGCGGTGTAAATGGGTTGCCTCTCGGTGTAGGTGCGAGCCCTCGGTTCAGAAGCGGCAGTGGCGCGGCGGGCGCGCAGGTTAATATGTTCAGAATCAATCGCACCAGCAGCGCTTCGAGCAGCGTTTTTGGTGGTGAGCGGGGGGATAGAGGAGAACGGCGAGAGAGAGGAGAGAGGGAAGAGAGGGAAGAGAGAGGGGAGAGGGGAGAGAGGGGAGAGAGGGGCGAGAGGGGCGAGAGGGGAGACTGGGGAGAGAAAGGGGACAGAGAGAGGAGAGGCATGGGGGAAGGGAGTGAGAGAGGAGAAAGAGGAGGAAGGGGAGAGAGATTTCCGAGAGAGAAGGGAGGAAGAGGAGAGAGAGGACAGCGAGCAGAGAGAGGAGAGAAAGGGGAGAGAGAGAGGAGAGAATGGGGAGAGGGGGCTGAGGGTAGAGAGAGAGGAGAAAGGGGAGAGAGAGGAGAGAGGGGAGAGAGAGGTGAGAGGGACGAGAGAGGAGTGAGGGGCGAGAGAGTGGAGAGAGGGGAGAGAGGAGAGAGAGGAGAGAGAGGAGAGAGGGAGCGTAGCACCTCGTCCGGCCCATCGGTTGTCCTTGCAAGCCCTCGCTCAAGAGCCCCTCTGTTAGAAGCTCACCTGGCGAAGTCACATGAAGGGGCGACGGCGGTGGAAGTCAGGCAAATGCAAGTCGCGACGGGCGGGGCAGGGGGAGCAGGTGCAGTGGGCGCGTTGAGCAGGAGGAAAAGCGGTGGTGCGTGGGCGGATGTTAATCCAAGGGCCACAGGCGGGTTGAGAGGCGAGCAGGAAGCGGAAGGAGCGAGAGATGGGGAGAAGGGAAGAGGGAGAGTGGGTGGGACAAGAAGAGATGTGCAAGGGGTGGGTGGTGGTGGTGACTTAGACGCTACATTGGAATGGACGTTTGAGCAAGAGTCACGAGATGCAGATGAGGGTTGGGGGAGAGGTGACTGCAGAGAGGACGCGGAGGAAGAGGAGGAAGAAGAGGAAGAGGAAGAGGAAGAGGAGGAGGAGGAAGAGGAGGAGGAGGACGAGGAAGAGGAGGAAGAGGAAGAGGAGGAAGAGGAAGAGGCAGACGAGGAAGAGGAAGAGGAGGAGAGAGCACGGTATGGAAACGGACTGTCAGATGCGAGGCTGCACGACGATCGTGTGGCAGTGAGGGCTGCACGCCACAGCTCGGCCAAAACGCGCCGTGGAGCTGCCGCTGCTGCACCGTCCAAGCCATACGAGCCACTCCCCCGCGCCCTGAAACGCCCTGGGAGAAACACGCCACCATCCGCACCAGCAGCAGCATCAACATCAACGTCAACAACAGCAGCAACAGCAGCAGCGTTGACCTCAGGGTCCAAGCATCGGGCCTCTAGTGGGGCCTTTACATCGTCTGGCGGTGGTGGGCAGATGCAGGCATTCTCAGGACCAATACCACCCGTGGGCGGAGGCAATGAGATGCCTCTCAGCCCCCCCTCACGCCCCGTCTCCAGAATCCCTCACACGTTCCCTGCAGCAGCGGGAGCAGCAGGAGGGTTGGGGCTGGTTGCAGGGACAGGCATGAGTGGTATTCACTCGTCAGCTCTGAGTGTGCGGCTGCCTGCGAGAATGGCAGCAGAGGTGGCGCGCAGTGACAATGGCAGCGACTGCAGAGAGAGCGAGGGGGAGAGCGACGGGTGCGGCAGCGACGCTTGCAGTAACAGGTTGGCAGATGTGATGAGCAACCGGTTCAGTGAAGATCTGAGTGGGCGGTTGAGTGGTGGGGAGAGCAGTGGGAGCTACAGGGAGGAGCCGTGGAAGGGTGTGGATTGTTGGAGTGATCGGGAGGAAGGGGTTGAGAGGGATCGGGAGGGGCGGAGGGAGGGTGGGGTTTGGAGTGTGGAGGAGGAAGCGAGGAGGAAAGCGCAATTGGATAGGGAGACACGCTCGGATGTTGATACGGAGGAGGAGGAGGATGAGGGTCGTGAGGAGAGGGTTGGGAGGGGTGCAGAGGGTTTTGAGGCGACAGGGAGGTTGGGGGGGGAGGAGAGAGGTGGACGGGAGCAGCAGAGGAGGAGAGCAGGGGATGCGCGACGGGAGGAAAGGTGGGAGGAGACAACGGAGTCAGAGGGAGAAGGAGAGGAGGGGTGGGGTGATGACGAACACAAGGCACATGGAAGGCACAGGGATCAAGGGCGGCAGCATAGGGATGAGGAGTCTCGGATAGCGATAGGGAGGGAGCAGAGGCAGCAGAATTACCTGTCTGACGGGGAGAGGCAGCGGGGCGGGGAGCGGCAGAGGAGGGAGGGGAGGCGAGGGAAGGAGGAAAGACGAAGCAGTGAGGCCAGGAGTGGGGAGGTGCTTGGTTCTGTTAATCCCTCCGCGCTCCTCCCTCCGATGGTGTCTCAGGCGGGTAGGTCTGTGTCTCAGACGAGCAGAGGGGGGAGGGAGGGGGACGGGGGGAGAGCGAGCAGCAGAGGGGCACTGAACGGGGTGCTGCAGCTGCTGCCCACAGGAGCAAGCAAGGGGCGAGATGACAACCGCGCTGATACCTCTCCTGCCGCCACCACCGCTGCTGCAAGTGGTGGTGGTGGCAGCAGCAGTGGGGCAGCAGGCGGGACAGGAGGAGGAGCATCGGGGCTTCGGTCGCCGGGGCGGTGGTTTGGGAGTCAGGAGGCGAAGCCGCGGGCGAGCAGCATGCGCACTGCAGGCACGGAACGAGTTTCAGATGAGCCGCGCAAAGGCGGTAAGAGCCTGGACTTGCGGCGGCTCAGACTGTCTCTGTTTGAAGAGGAGGCGGGGAAGGGGGAGAAGGGCGGCAGTGGGGCGGGCAGAGGGGGGAAAGGGGGAGAGAGTGAGGAGGAAGCGGAGGATGGGAGGGATGGGAGGGGGAGGAGAGGGGGGGATGGAGGGCGTGGAAGTGGGGAGGAGGAGGGGAGGGGGGGAGGGGGAGGAGGAGGTGGGAAGGAGGCAAGGGCGAGGGGGGCGAGGGAAGGGGGTGGGTGGCGGGGGGGAAGGCGGGGGTGGAGGAGGGGGGAGGCGAGGGCTCCTTGATGTGCTGAAAGGGCAGCACAAGTCCCCGCGGCGGTCGTCACACCAAGCAGACGAGAAGGCCTTTGGCTCTGGTTTGCCTGCCACTGCCACAGTTGCCGCTGCTGCTGGTGCTTCCACTGCAGCTTCTGCTAGTGGGGGTGGGGGTGGGGCCAACAGCAGTCACAGCGGTGGGTGGTGGGATTCGTCTCGAAGGCAATCCTCCTCCACCCCGCGCTCATCCACAACCACCCCTCGCTCCTCCACCACTCCGCACTCCTCTGGACCCTCTCAAACCACCACACCACGCCCCCCGTCCGCGATCACCCCCACCTCCTCCTCGTCCTCCTCCCCCACTGCGGATGCTGCTCCCGTGGGGGGAGGCGGGGGCGGAGGCGGAGGCGGAAGCGGAGGGGGAGGCGGGGGAGGGGGGGGAGGGGGACCAGGAGGGGGTCTCTCAGGGGGAGGCAGCGGAGGGCTGGGCGGAACAGGGAGAGACGCAGGTGCTGCCTGCTGGAGCCCCCGGGACTCCTCCTCTGCTGTTCCCTCGTCCACTTCTGCTTCTACCACTACCTCTTCTGCCTCTGTGCCCCCGCTCATCCTCCCCACGCCTGACAAGTCCCGTGGGTGGACCAGAGCGGCGTGGGTGAGGGCTTCTAAGAGTGTGGCAGGCGGAGGGGCATCCCCCCCTGGTGGTGCTTCTGCTGGTGCGGGCTCAGCTGGGGGAGGTGTTTCTGGGGGAGGTGCAGGGGTGGGAATGGTTGCGGGTGGTTCTGGTGGGGCAGGTGGGGTGGGGGACGGTGGGAGTGGGAGCAGAAGCGGTGGGTTTTTGTCGAAGAGTGTGCGGGTGGATGGGGACAGGGAGAGAGAGAGAGAGCGGGAGCGGGAGAAGGAGAGGGAGAGGGACAGGGAAGAGGAGGGAGAGAGGGAGAGGGAGGAGGGGGAGGGCAGAGAGAGCGGGAGGGAGAAGGAAAAGAGCAGGGAGAAGGAGGAATCGAGAAGCAGGTCTCCCCTGCGTTCCCCCCGCGCCCCTAAAAGCCCCTCCGTGCGAACAGCCATAAGCTTTTTCAGCGGTCGGTTTGATAAGTGGGGTGGGGGGGGAGGGTCGGGCGCAGGGGGGAATGGTGGGGGAGGTGGGAAAGGCGGTGAGGGGAATGAGGGGATTCGGAGGGGACACACAGCCACAGGCAGCATTATCAGTGCAATGGGGATGCTAGCTGGAGCAGGAGGGGGGCACGCGGATGGGGTTGAGCGAGGAGGAGAGAGAGGCGCTCGAGGAGGGGAACGAGGTGGGGAGAGAGGAGGTGAGAAGGGGGGGGAGAGAGGGGGAGCAGGGGCAAGCGGAGGGGGGACCTCGGACGGAAAAGAAGGCGGAGGTAGCGGGAGCGGGAGCAGCAGCAGCGGCAACCAGTCGCAGGGTGGCGCGCCAGCAGGGGTGAGCAGGCTATGGGGGGTAGCAGCAGGCGCAGCGTCTTTCCACTCACGCATGGTCAGCTTTAGCGGCGTTCTCCTGAAGGACGAGGACCAAGGCATGTTAGGCCGCGGTGTGGGGGATCTACGGAAGAAGTACGAGGTGGGGGAGAAGGTCGGGGAGGGGCGCAGCGGCGTGGTGGTGCGCGCGTGCGTGGAGCGCAAGAGCCGGGCGCGATTCGCGTGCAAGTCGATCGCCAAGACGACGCTGGGGGATGCGAAGAAGGTGGAGGCGTTGCGGGTGGAGGTGGCTGTGATGGAGGCGGTGGGATCGCATGCGAATATTGTGGCGCTGCATGACACTGTGGAGGATGCTCAGGTGCGTGCAAGGGTGAAAGGCGTGAGAGGGGCAGGTGGGGATGGCTGTGGGATTGCATGCGAATATGTTAGCGCTGCACGATATTGTGGAGGGCGCTCAGGTGCGTGCAGTAAGGGGGCAAGGGTGTGTGGGTGCAAGGGCGCATGTGTGTGGCCTGTATGCACATTGCTGGGATGGGATGAGCTCTGCTATCCATCACCCTCATACGTATGGCCGTTCAACGATGTGGATTTTGCACCTTCAATGCTGCGTTTGCACCTTCCACTCGGGCCCCATGCCACTTTCCTCCCCCATCCGACTCTCCCTCTCTCCCCATCTCGTCTCTCCTCCTCTCGTCACCTTGCCTCACCTCGCCCCACCTCCTGCCGCCCCTCCCAGGACGTGCATCTGATGAAGGAGCTCTGTGAGCGCGGCGACCTGCTCTCGCACGTCAACACCTCTCCACCTCTCCTCACCAATTCCTTCTTCTCCCTTTCTCCTCCCAAACCCTCCCACCTTCCCCTCCCCCCTATACCCTTCCCTGCCTTCAGGACGTGCATCTGATAATGGAGCTGTGCGAGGGCGGCGACCTGTTCTCACACGTCAACACCTCTCCACCTCTCCCACCTCCTCCCACCCACTTCTCCCCTCCTCCCCCCAACCCCTCTCACCACTCTCCTCCCCCCTCTCCCCTTCCAACCAGGACGTGCATCTGATAATGGAGCTGTGCGAGGGAGGCGACCTGCTCTCGCACGTCAACACGGCCCCACACATCTCAGAGCGCCACGCGGCGGCCATCTGCCGGCGCATCGCGGATGCCGTGCGCTTCTGCCACCGCCGCGGCATCTGCCACCGCGACCTCAAGCCCGAGAACGTGCTGCTCGCTACCAAAGGGGTTGCTGGGGCTGATCTGCGCGTTGCGGATTTTGGCATCTCCACCTTCATTGAGTCAGGTGCGCATGGGAGGAGGGGAAAAGGAGGAGGGAAGGAGGGGAAAAGGGGGGAGGGGGGAAGGAGGGGAAAAGGAGGGAGGGGAGGGGTTGTGCTTCTGGGATGTTGCGAAACCGCAAAATGCAGGTGTATGCAGGTTACTCTTGTATTGCTGCTCCGTCCCACCCTCCGCTCGTCCCACCCTTCCTCCTCCGCCCCTACCCTCCATTCCATTTTTCCCTCTCTTCCCCCCTCTCTCCCCACTGAACCACACCCACTCACTGCTCCCGTCCCCCGTACCCCTCCCCGCACCACCGCACACCACTGCAGGCCAGCGCATCCGCGGGTACGCAGGCAGCCCGTTCTACATCGCGCCAGAGGTCCTCAACGGGCGGTATGGCTTTGAAGTAGACGTGTGGAGCCTGGGCGTCATCCTCTACACTCTCCTCTCGCAGCGCCTGCCGTTCTGGCACAGCACAGACATAGGCGTGTACCGCGCGATCCTGAAAGGGCACGTGGATACGCACACGGGCGCGTGGCTGCATGTGAGCAAGGACGCGGTGCATCTGGTGCGCCGCATGCTGTGCCAAGACCCTGCAGAGAGAATCACCCTCGATGAGCTGCTGGGTACTACTTCTTCTTCCTTCCTTCCTTCCTTCCTTCCTTCCTTCTGGCGTTCCTTCCCCCACCATCGCCCTCTGCTCACCCTCTGCTCCCCATCCTGCTCCCATCCTGCTCCCCCATCAATCTTCCTCGTTCCAGTGTTCTGTTCCTCTGGTTTCTGATCTCGCCCGCGTTAAGTTTGCTAATCTCAGCACCGCTTTGCAACCGCAACGCACCTTGAATCTGAAGCTCAAAAGCCCCTAAGATCGGAAACAATTTTCCCATGCCCATTCTTCCCCGTCCCCCACCCGTCACTCCCCTCCCCCACAACCCCCCTCCACCTTCCCTGCCATGCATCAGAGCACCCATGGATCCTGAAACACGACCGCGACACCTCGCCTCTACCGCAGCCCCTACCAGAGCTCCCCAACTGGAAGCTAAGCAAGCGGCGCCGCGCCATCGCTCGCTCCACAGCCATTGTCGTGCCGTCTTTCCGCCTGCCCTTCTGCATCACTCCCCCAGACGGCGCTGTTTCTAGTGAGACCGAGCCGGACACAGAGACAGAGAGCGAGCCAGAGAGGGTTGCCGGTGGTTACATTCTTGGTTACACTTCCACTGGTGCTGCTGCTACCGCTGCTTCTGGTGGTTCTGGTGCTGCTGGTGCCGGTGGTGGTAGCAGTAAAGGTGGTGTGGCTAGCAGTAAGTCAATCACCGGCACTGCTGTGGCCTCTGGGATGGCAATCGGGAGACGAGGCGGTGGGAGTGGTCCGCTGCTCCTCACCACCTCCTCCTCCTCCTCTCTCTCGTCTCGCAACGTCCCGCTCACCTCTCTCATCACACCGCTCTCTCCCTCTCAAGCCTCCCCTTCATCTGCAGTGCTCATCCCACCCTCCCTCTCGGCTCTCTCCACTAGCTCGAATCGCCGAACCTTGCCACGATACCGCACAGCAACTGACAAGTACTAACTCCCTTCTTACCAACCTCCCCCCCTGACCTCAGTCCTCCTTAACGATTCCATACCTCCTCCCAGTCGTCCCAGCCCAGGCTCCCATTCCTCCCATTCCTCCCATTCCTCCCATTCCTCCCGTTCCTCCCGTTCCTTCCATTCCTCCCGTTCCTTCCATTCCTCCCATTCCTCCCATTCCTCCCATGATCTCACCATCCCGCTGAACACATGGGATGGCCTACGCAGTTGCGTGGTTTAGGCACACTCGCTGCAGTGAATGCAGCCGTTCCCTCCTATTGTCATTACTGCATACTGATCATCACCACCATCAACATCTGCTGCAACTTCCGGTAGCTTCTAGCTAGCTCTGACACCACACCAACCATACCATCCGACAGACACGGCCCAGCTGTGCTATGCTATAACCTGCAACAAACAGCGATTTTATACATGGAACCCCCCTTGAAAGCTTGTTTGGCTTCCCGTTGTACCAAGGACACTTTACCATACTATGTGTGCCTGTGTCACCAGTGCATGTGTTCTAACTTCTACCATTATGGAATACAAAATTATTGTGGTAAGACAAGGCACTGTGAGAATAAACGAACAGGGATGAAAATGACTAAGGAAAGATGGGTACAAATACAACCCTAGAAACCCTGTACCCCATATGTGCTACCCCACTATAGCCTACAACAACTATGTCATATAAATCTGACACACCCCCATAGGCAAAGTGGGGGAGAACAAGGGGTCACAAGACCAGTCAAGCAAAGCAAAGCAAGCTCAGGGTGGATCACAAAGTCACCACACAGTCCGAGCACAAGAGTAGGGCCAGAGGCCAGTTCACATGCAGGAGTACAGACATATATATAAAACTAGACAAACAAGAGCAGGCATATATATATGTCTCAGTACAAGTGAAGTCAAGAGGAGAGCAAGTGAGGCAAGACAAGCACAAGACCCAGCTGGGTGCAAAAGCGCTGATGGTCACAAGGCGCGAGTGCCTTGGTGAACACATCAGCAGTGTTGGCCTCAGAGGCCACGTACGCAAGTCGCAACTGACCACGCTGCTGCAGCTCACGAGCAAGGAAGTAGCGGAGAGCAATGTGCTTCGTTCTGTGCTCCAAGCGCTGCTCTCGACACAAGGCCAGCATAGCCTTGTTGTCTACGTACAGCACTGGAGGAGAACGAGGCGGCTCTCCAAGGTCAGTCAGCAGGTAGGTGAGCCAGCGAAGCTCCTGTGCAGCCATGGCCCCGGCGTAGATCTCAGCCTCACAACTGGAGCCGAGAACCGAAGACGAGCGAGTAGACCGCCACGAGACAGAGCCGGAACTAAGGCTGAAGGTGTAACCCTGTGACGACCGCTGCGTAGCCTGGTCGTCAGCCCAAGAAGCGTCCGCGTGGCCGGTAAGGACCACTGGACTCCGCCCTCCAAGCACTAGCCCCATGCCCGACGTGCTGCACAGGTAGCGCAATACCCTCTTCGCTGCAGCCATGTGCTCCGGTCTGTGTATCCCAGGAGCAACATAGCGTGCAAGAATGCTCAGAGGGTATGCAAGGTCAGGTCGTGTGCAGGTCATCAGGTACATGAGGCAGCCAACAAGCTCTGCATACGGACCACTCGACTCTACGGACTCATCCGAAGGCAGAGCTGAGAGTGAGTGGCGAGTAGGTAGAGGAGTGGCCTGAGGCGAGGAGTACGTGAAGCCGAAGCGCTGAAGGACCTGCTGCACCATGTGTGACTGAGTCAAGGTAATGGTGCGGCGTGCTCTGTCCCGAGTGATCTGCAAGCCAAGGTAGCTGCGCAGTTCACCCAGGTCTGTGCACGTGTGTCTCTTCAGCAGCTCGGACTTCACGTAGGCGAGTCCAGCAGTGTCCGCTGTGGCAAAGACCAAGTCGTCGACGTACACGAGGATGTAGAACGGCGGCAGCGAGGTGTCGGTGCGCAGAAACAGCGACGGGTCAGCAGTAGAAGGAGCAAACCCAAGAGCCGCAAGCGTAGTCCTCAGTGTGTCGTGCCACTCACGCGGTGCCTGGCGGAGACCGTAGACTGGCCGTCTGAGGCTCCACTGGGTGCCAGGAGGGAAAGTCCCAGTGAAGCCAGGTGGACGGCGCAGCCAGATCTCCTCGTGCAGGCTACCCTGCAGGAACGCAGTGCTGAAGTCAAGAGAGTGAAGCTCGTAGTCGCGCTGAGCGGCTATGTGCAGCAGCACCCGAAGAGTGGTCATCTTCGGGGTGGGAGAGAAGGTCTGAAAGTAGTCAACTCCCTGCCGCTGACTGAAGCCACGAGCAACGTACCGCGCCTTGAAGACAGGTGGAGAGCCCGGCGGCCGCTTCACCCTGAAGATCCACATGCCACTGACGATGTTCGCCCCAGGAGGGGGAACTGCGTCAACGTAGGTGCCTGTGGACTTCCAGGAAGCCATCTCTGCATCCATAGCTGCCTGCCACTGAGAGGAGTAGGGACCCTCTACGGCCTCCGCGTAAGAACGCGGAGTCGGGATGTCTAATGCATCCGGGTCTCCCTCAGGGGCAAGTAGTACAGACGCGAGATGAGGTGAAGCAGCCGCTAGACACTGTAACTCCTCCTGTCTGTCCTCTAGGACGTCCGTGCCAAGAGCACACTCACCCCCGACGGACGGAGGACAGACAGACGCAGACTCAGCAACAAGACCAGCAGCGTAGTCGAGACGACAGCGAGCAGCAAAGTCAACGAGCTCAGCGACTAGAGCAGACGCAGCAGTGGACTCAAAAGAGGGGTCAGTGACGACAGTAGCAAGCAGACGCGTGACAGTAGGACTGGCAGCGCGAAGAGAGTCTGACTCAGGGTCGGCAAGCGCAGGAAGAGAGGACTCAGGAGGAGAAGGCAGAGGGGCACGCAGAGGAGCAGTGGACGGACGCAGAGACATCCGGTGCGTGCCAGGGACAGGAGGAGGACGCTGACGCGAACCGCGACCACTAGCGCGAGCAGCACGAACAGGCGACGCGGGACGAGACACAGGCTCACGACGCTCAGCAAGACCTCCAGTAGGACCAGTGTAAGGAGAGGGAGCAGGCAGAGGAGAGGAAGGCTCCAACAGTGACTGCGACTGGACAGGCTGTGGACACTCTACCGAAGGAGAAAGACCAAGAACCTGCTGTAGGAGCGGAACGAAGTACGGCCGAGGCCGCGCGGCAGCTCCAGACTCAGCAGGGACAGCACCAGCACCCTCAGCGACAGCACCAGCGCCACCCACACCTCCAGCGGCAGGACCAACAGCAGTAGGCTCAGCACCAACGCCCTCAGTACCTCCAACTGCAGGAGGACCCTCAGGTCCAGCAGCTCCGGGACCGGCAGCACCCGCACCCTCGACGGTCGAAGAAGCTCCAGCTCCAGCTCCAGCAGCACCTCCAGACTCAGCAGCACGCCTCCAGCGGCGAGCGTACCACTCGCGCAGCTCCTGTGGAGAGAGGGGCTCCCGGCGAGACGCAGCAGCAGGAGAAACCCCAGGCTCAGCAGCTCCAGACGCAGCAGGGACAGCACCAGCACCCTCAGCGACAGCACCAGCGCCACCCACACCTCCAGCGGCAGGACCAACAGCACTAGGCTCAGCACCAACGCCCTCAGCCCCTCCAGCTCCAGGAGGACCCGCAGGTCCAGCAGCTCCAGGACCGGCAGCACCCGCACCCTCGACGGTCGAAGAAGCTCCAGCTCCAGCTCCAGCAGCACCTCCAGACTCAGCAGCACGCCTGCAGCGGCGAGCGTACCACTCGCGCAGCTCCTGTGGAGAGAGGGGCTCCCGGCGAGACGCAGCAGCAGGAGAAACCCCAGGTTCAGCAGCTCCAGACGCAGCACCCCCAGGCTCAGCAGCTCCCAGCTCAGCACCCCCAGGCTCAGCAGCTCCCGACCCAGCACCCCCAGACCCAGTGCCTCCAGGCACAGCACCCCCCGGCTCAGCACCCCCAGGCTCCGCACCCACCGCAGTAGCACCCTCAGGCCCAGCACCCCCAGCAGTAGCACCCCCAGGCTCAGCACCCCCGCGCACAGTACCCCCAGAGTCAGCACCCCCAGGCTCAGCACCCGCAGCAGCACCAGAGTCACCAGTAACCTCGACCGGGTCAACGGCGTCTACCTGGGACACACCTGAGGGGGCAGGAACGTGAGGGGGGAGGGGGTCTACCGGGGGGGGAACCGGCACAAGGAAGTCCGGGGGAGGGGGGAGGGAAGGAATGCGGTAGGGGAAGAGACGGTAGAAGGGGACTGACTCATCGAACGTGACGTCCTGGGAGGACAGAACACGACGAGAGGAGGGGTGGTAAAACTGCCACCCGGGGGCGTCAGTGGGGAAGCCAAGGAAGACACAGGGAGCAGCACGAGGGGACAGCTTGTCCGCAGACAAGTCGCGGACAAACGCCCGAGATCCCCAGACACGGAACACAGACGCATCGCCAACCTTCCCTGTCCACAGCAAGACTGGGGACATCGCAGGCCGAGAGACCCGGGGGTGAAGGTTGAGCTGATGCGCCGCGTACCTCACCGCAAACGGCCACAGAAAATGGGGGGCAGCCGCATGCATCATGGACGTACGAGCGACATCCATGACCATGCCAATGCGGCGCTCAGCAATCCCATTTTGCTGTGGTGAGTCCGGAAGCGTGAAGGTCTGGCGGATCCCCCGTGCACGACAGTAGTCTCGCAGAAGGCGGGAAGAGAACTCTCCGCCTCTGTCAGAGTGCAGACGCAGAACAGGAAAGTCCGAGCCGAAGCTCTTCCTGAGCTGGAGACGAGCCTCGCGGATCCAGTCGATCAGCACCACAGTGACCTCACCCTTGCTGCGCAAGGGGAAGACTGTGGTGTAACGCGAGTAGTCGTCAACCACCAACAGGAAGTAGCGCTCGTAACCCTGCCCACGGACGGGGGCTGGGCCCCACACATCCATGTGAAGCGTCTGCAGGGGAGCCTCTGTCGGGGGGAAGTGGGAGGAGTGAGGAGTAGCCCGGAGGCGACCCTCGACACAAGGGACACAGGAAGGTCCT